GATACGAGCTTTGTATCAACAACGACATAAACATTAAAAACGTGGAATAGGTTTATAATGAGAATATACGCTACCACAGTTTCACGTTGCAAACCAATAATTACACACATACCTCTTTTACGCAGTGGGCTATCTTCTTCTGATGATCTGTCCATTGTGTTTAAATATTCTTCGAAATCCCGCAGCAATTCATTCTATAACGAAAGTACTTTTGATTAAAGTGGCATTCAGTCTTCGTAATGCTGTCAAAACTTACTATGTAAAGTTTATTGAGATGTATTTGTGCTCGTGAAAATGCGTCTGGCGTACTGGTCAGTGATTTGGACAATACATCAATAATGACCAAGTACTACGGTGTCTCGGCGAATTCTGAATCTACAGTTTGCCAATATGTTTATGAGCAGTTAAAAAAATAAAGGCTTATTTATACAATGATTAAAACAAAAACAACAGTTATTCTTCAGCTTTTCAAGGCATGAACGAATAATACACTGTAACACTACACTGTTTTGCCTCGCACCATCGGCGTTCTTGTGAGAAAAATCAACACTGATCATTATGTGCAATTTGTCTACATTTCCAAAGAGTCCAAGTTGTCCATGGAAAACACGCCAAACGTATAATAACGAAATAATTTTATTGCACAATGACTCAGGACACAAGAATTCATCTCTTGCAGAAAAGTTCAAATACGATTATTAAGTACCGAATGTTGGAAACTTTCGAGATGGATCACGTGCCGTGACCCCTCTTACGAGTTTTTTAAAGTCTAAATTGCGAACACAAAGCGGTATATCTCCATCCGACAAAAACAAAACGAACAAACAAACCGTAACTTACACTAGTGTCGAACCGGTCAGCGGAACACGTAGCAATCACAAACAATGCACAAAGTGTCAATATAACCAAGTACTTCATCGTCATATTCCAGGAGCACCCTAAAACCGTGGCCAATAGTCGATGAAAATTAAATAAACTATGCAACATGTATTCGTTATATAATTGTCACCGAGAATATACGTTTCCGGTGGACAGTCCGATATTTTAATTGACGCCATTAAGCAGAGGCAAGACTCAGATTACAGAAATATTCAATTGTTATTGGTTTCCAAATTGTGTTTTTTTTTCTTTTCGAGATGTCACGATCGCTGGGTTCAGCTCAACATTTTGAATATATGCGTTAATTAAAGTTGTACGATGTAATTCAAATTAACCCAAACTATCGCAGTACTCAGGTAATAACGTGCTAGGATCGATAAGCTCTTTCACAAATAATTAGGCACTCTGTATGAGTGATGCCTGAAATTATTTTTCGGTTTATTTTTATATCCAGTGGCAACTGTAGTACACATGCGCCATAGTGTACTGCGAAGAAATGATATGAAGTTGTTATATCAGTTTGTGTAAAGAAACACTTTTCTGAAAATTAACATAAAACAGTCTTGATTACAACTATAATATACATACTGGTATATTCTTAAAAATGATCTTCTTATATTCTTTTCAGCGCAAGTGTAAATACTTTCAAATAATGATTTTGGTAGAAACTAACATCGTGAACACTGGTTGTTTCTGGCAACAACAAAAATACAGACTATGTCGAATGCTGGGAGTCCACGTCACTTGTGCGTATGTGAGATTTTACCGATCCGAATGTAATCCCATCTAAACGGTTTCCTGACATCCCCAATTTTGATATATGAAGATTATATTAGGTAAAACACTGTTTTGATAAGCAACGCACAAAGTGTCAATATAACCAAGTACTTCATCGTCATATTCCAGGAGTACCCTGGAACCGTGGCAAATAGTCGGTGAAAATCTTATTACTAAATTATGCAACAGGTACTTGTTATATAATTGTCACGGAGAATAGATGTTCCCGGTAGATAGTTTTGATATGGACGGTATTGCGAGATATTGTGTATTGTCTGTTTTCATTATTGCTACATTTTAAGGTCTTTAACATTTGAGTTGAGTTTTGAAAATCATCTGTACATTAATAATTATAATAAGGAAATATACTAATCCCAATAGTTCTGATAGTTTCAGGTGTCAGCTAAAGTTAGTGTTGTGTGCAGAAATTCTGCATGTTGTTTTTGACGTCTGAGATACGAATTATATTGTCTGAGATTCATTTGCTGAGTTCAAAACTAAAGACAACATTGAAGAGCTAGCATTTAGAATCAAACTAATCCGCGACACAAAATAACTGATAAATTTAGGAACCGAAATGAAAATGTTATCTTACTGTTTTACGGTTTCTCCTACATTCATCTGTGGGGGGCAGTACATTGTGCCGTAAAGAGGAGCGATGCGCATTTGCCGAGTTGCGAATTTAAAACATGTGTTCGTTTATGTGCCTTTAATTTGGATAAAGTATATGTAATTTATCAGACGTCATTTCAAATTAACTATGTGTAGTCGCATTTTTTTACGAATTGTAAAATCTCATTGTTTGAATTGACAAATTTAGTAATTATGTTACCCAGGCATCAACAAAACTATATAGCAAAACGACGTTGAAACAGTGGAACAAAGCTGTATATTTTGATAGTGTTAGTACCGCTCTCCTACCGAATAACGTTATAAGAAATCTGATATGCGAGTTATAAATAGTTGTCGGCAATTAGCGTTGCTAAAGCTAAAATCCACAAAATAATTTGTTTTGACATTGATAGTACAATATTTTGCCGTCATATTGTACCGGAAATTATTTAGGGTAACAATCTAACATCATGCAAGAGTTTACGTTATTAGTAACCTGTTTCGTCGATGGAGCAGACTCGCACATAATAGACTTAAATACATATGAGTAAGTTAGCAATGTGATGTGTATGCAAAACATTGAACCCTACCTTCTACACTCAATGAATAATTATTAAAACACGAAAAAAAAACATCAAAATACTAGACAAGAAATGGTTTCTGATATTAATTTTCACGTGCGTTATTTTCACAATTCGTGCGTTAGTTTCACAATACAAAATAATTTAATGTTGTCGAAAATGAAATCATCTATAACAAATACAGAAAACGTTAAATCAATATAAGGATCACCAAAATACAAGAAAGTAAACATTGTAATGTATTTTTGGATCAGTACACATTGACACACATTGACTTACATTTGAAAACAAAGATACTTTCTGACTTTTACAAAACAATTCAACAATTTCAAAACATTAGTTTTATTGCTGGAAATCACATCAGACTTGATATGATTATGCTGGAATATGTCAAAACCAAGGAGATCCACCATTTCTCAAAAGCAAATGCTCAAAGTCCGCTCAAGTTAGCCGGCGTTTATATATCTCACAGTGCCGCTTAGTATGTCTGAATGCATAATTATTATTATTTTTCCCGCTTGAAATATTAATTGATGGCGAGATTACGGCCCGAAGAGACAAAAAAGAAATGTTTTGTGGTATATGAACGTTTAAATTGAGTTCGCGGTTACCATACGCCGTAATAGCGCTACTGCGTCCAATAAAAACAAAGAAGGTTTTTAACTATGAAAGAAATGGTAAATGATATTGTTTTCGCTGGTAGATGTATAATATAAAGTTATTACAAAAATACCTCAAAGTATGCACGAACACAGTACAGCTGGAGTATCGACCGACGCGCAGCGGAGGACGATGCGAGGCGTACTGTCTGAGTACATACTTTGAAGTATTCTCGGAATAACCTTATTATTATACACCGTTTCCTTCCGAGGATACGTCATGGGAATGCCGAAATCCAAAAGGTTTGAAACAGAATCTGTTCAAACCCCGATGGAAGCCATTTTTGTTTATATTATTAGAGCACGCTTACGCGCGTAATCATTCCATATTTGGAATTCGCATTTCCTTAAAATTACGGCACGCTGTAACCTATGGCGTTACGATGACAGATGTATAATAATAGTTAATATATTATATATGTGGTTACATTTGTTGGTGATGCAAGCTCCCACAGAGTAAAATAATATACCTAATCCACCCTGTGAAAGCCCAGGTTCCATGTCATAGGAGGGAAACCAACGGAAATCATTCCCAAATAATATTTTTTGAACAAAATTCAAAATAATATTTAAAAAAAAACATAGTGTAAACTTGTCTAAATCCCTTTTATCAAAACATTGTACAGTTCCGTTAAAATCAAATTCTTTAAAAAACTAATGTTACTAAACAGATATTGACTAACAAGCTTACATAGACTAACCTGTAATATACACTACATAGACATGTGTTTATTGCAAAACGTGGTTATATTTCCATATTGAAAAGAAAATTGCATTCAACACCTCATCTTTCTATTTGCACAATAGTCCTACACTTCCCGACGAAAAACATATGTCACCGCGTTTTTTTTTTATTTAAATAATTACCATTTTGCACATTTGGAATAAAAGTATATTAATTACTACTCTGATTGCCCTGGATGTTTCTTTATTTCGTTAATTCGTGTTCATATGAAAAGATTTGTATTTGCGGAGAAGCTTTTCGACTCACGTTTCATTGTGTCCATGCAATGAGCAGTGAGAATAATTTTAATTTACTACGATATGGACCGGAAACGATTAGACAGCTAATATAACAATTATCGCGAAAATACAATGCTAACGAGGGTATTTATTCACACATACTAGTTGTATCATATAATAACAAGGAATGAAACAATTAGTATACATATACATTTTGTCTCGTCATTCCTGTATTCGCTCGCGAATAATTTCAAACGCTCGCGTATCATTTAATTAGCATCATTGTTGGTATGCCCAACAGTTGGAATCGTGTTCGTGCATATTTTTACTTAATTAGTCACATGGGTTAACCTGTTATATTGACAATGTTTGTGTTCCCTTCAAATGTAACAATACACATTAAAGTGCCATTTTACGTCAATCAGGCGGAAATATGAGGTATAAAGTGGATGCAATCGACTCCGTGTTTCACATGCCACTGTTCTCGACAATTTATCCTGTACTGACAAGCCCGTGTACCTGACGAGTAAAGATGAAGACCGTTATGTTGTTGTGTTTATGTGCGGTGATGATGGCGATGACTTGTGTTGCACAGGAAGAGACTGTTCGAGAGGTAGGTTTCTTACAATGTTTCTCTACTCGCTGTATAGCAGATACAACTTTCCTGGAATTGTTGCTTATTGTCGATATCAGTCTTTAGTCTCACTATACGAAAGAGGTGTAGGTGGCCTGAAGCTTATTATTTCAACGTATTTGTAGTGGAGGAGAAGGGGTCTATTCATACAAACGTTCTGATCGTTAAAAATAAAAAAAATGCCTGGCATTAAACATGCGCAAAGAAATATTATTTTGAAATAAGCCCCCAGTAGTTGCATTTTTCTCATTACAAGGACGAGATATTACAACAAACTGGCATCTTGTATTTTTCCTATTTAGCATTTTCGGGAGTTTATTTTTTTCTACATTGTTTAGAGTTGTTTTCTAGATCTGTTAATCATCATCGATCTCATTTAATGATGATTGTGAAATATTATCGATTAGTTCACTTGCTGGAAATGAAACAAACAATGTATGTTCGAGTAGGTGTATTCATGCCAGGCCGAATTAGGGTGACGTAGTATGGGCACTGTAAATTGACCAAAGCTGTGCGTGACCCTGGGCCCCTTCCCAAATGATTTCGCTAGTTTTTCGATACATCTTCAAGACCACTCTAAATATTTCGTTTTTGCTAACATCGTATCGTGGTAAGCAAATGTCATATGTACTGTTTCTGTCCCAACTTTGCTGCCCGAAGTGACCATTTGTTCGAATTCATTTTATTTTACATTTTATTTGAAGATAATTATAAAATACATTCGCTTTATCTTCATTTTTTTTTGCTTCCTCCGAAGGGTATAGATAAGCTGGGAGAGGTGGTAAACGCCTGTGTCAGAGACTACTTAACACAGCTCGAAATTCAAGAGAACCCTGTGAAAAGTAAAAGTAAGTAGCCAATGTGTAATATAAAATGTGTATATATGTATAAAATATAAATTACACACAAAAAAGGAAAACCTGTCGTAGATATATTGCAGTCCACAGTATGTATTTATTCGATATAATTAAAAATTAAGGAAAACAACATAATACACCCAATTATCCAGTTATAGCACAGTACACTAAAGTCAACAGGAGGTACATAGAATAACAAATAAATTTTAAAAAATACTTTCACAAAAAAAAGGAAACGTAAGTAACTTTTAAACTAAGGTATATAAGAAAATAAGTAAAAGATTTATGCAAGAACAGCGTAGATTAGAGAGACTATAATGTGTACGAGATTCGTTGCTGTGAAAAATAACTGCATACAAAAACATACATTTACTACAAGAGTACCGATTGTATAAAATCTTACAGTAATATGAATTTGGACAACGTAATGCCTTGAAATGCGCTGAAAAATTATCATAAATATATATAATTTTTAAAAATACCACTTAATTTTACACCATTTCCGTGTTCAATGGCCGTATTTACGGTGTGTTAGACCGATTGAACGCCTTAATAACTATAAATGAATAAATCGTTGCGACGGCTCTTCCCTGGGGCTAATTTTATCATTATCTATTGCACGATCAAATACGAGGTTCATTTCATAACTAACTATTCACTTCTGCATTTCCGATGAACTTAACAGCGGCTAATATATATTTACACAATTACTGATAAACGTCGCCTTTGTTCATTTTCAGAATGTGGTGGCTCTTGGAAGGGATTCGTGGATTGTTAAATATAAATTTTACGGCAGATTATACTAATCACAATGTTTACTACTACTAAGTTTATGTAGAAAAGTAAAATTAATAGAATCATCAAATTTACTTTCTTTTATTGACATTTGACCTATTACTGTAGTCAACGGATGACGTCATTACATAAAAATAAGATGGGGAATGTGTCCACCTGGAAGCAATGCAACGAACTTCCACATGATATTATGACTAATATGGTGATACCGCAACAAAATTACTGTATTTCTCGGATAATAATCGTAAAAATATCTATATTCCAACAGAAACAATTTTCCCAAGGAAGAGATCCTCTCGAGTCCCACTATCTATCAATTCATCTATACATCAACTACAAAGCTATGTAATTTACATGTTGTTCATATCAGGATTTACGTTACATGTTATTTCATTAAAATCTAGATATTACGAATGATATACGTATACGATTGATTTGTATTTCAACTTTGCATGAAAGAACATCTTTTGCCGGAATGATGGTAATGACTAATGAATTGTGTCTGCATCATAAAACATGAGTCTCACTGGTTACCACGTATCATATGAGACTGGTGACGTAGAATTTAAACTTTTAAAGTAACTATTATAAGTAACTTTTAAAGTAAAGTATATACATTTAGAGTGTCTACATAACAAAAGCTTAAATATAAACACGCACAAAAAAACAGCGTAGATTAGAGAGATTATAATGTGTACAAAATTCGTTACTATGGATGATAACTGCAAAACAAAACAAAAACATACATCTACTGCAACAGTACCGATTGTATAGTACCGTAATGTTCACCTTTGCATTCAATGGAAAATGTCAAATTCTGAAACACAATCTAAGTATAAATGCGAGATTTTTTCCCGACAAAAATTAGTTGATGGACCTTTTGTGAAACCCGTCCGATTGGTTCATCACCAAACATATTGCATTTACTGTGACGATGATTTATTTTAACGCTTCAACTATTTTCACCCTTTACTAAATATACATTTTTATTGCTTCCATGTAAAATGTTTACAATGTTGATCACCCTATTTAACCCATGGGCATTTTTGCTAATTTTCCAAAAATTAACAAGAAGCGTGCAGGTTTTTTTCTTTAAGTGTAGGAGAAATATTTGGCGGATTGGCGGAAAAAATATTATGATGTTTAAAGGGTCATACGATAGGACTTTACAAAAATAAATAACGCAATATTTGTCATATGTTTTCAAATATATTGACAAAGACCAGTGCAGTGGGGAAAGAAAACTATTGTCATTTGGCCCAAAATATAACAAAGGTTTTCTCAGGCATGTACACATTAACATCTTACAGTAATATGGATTCGGACAACGTAATGCCTTGGAAAGCACTGAAAAATTATCTTAAATATATATAATTTATTTTTAAAATACCACTTCATTTTACACTATTTCTGTGTTCAATGGCCGCGTTTACGGTGTGTTAGTCTGATTGAACGCCTTAACAACTAATTAAATGAATTCATTGCGAATGCTCTTCCCTAGGGCTAATTTTATCAATATTTATTGCACGATCCAATATGAGGTTGATTGATTTTCATAAACTATTCACTTCTGCATTGTGAACTTAACAGCCGCTAATATATATTTACACAATTACTGATAAACGTCCTCTTTGTTCATTTTCAGAATGTCGTGGTGGTTGGAAGGGATTCGTTGATTGTTAAATATAAATTTTACAGCAGATTATACTAATCACAATGTTTACAACTACTAAGTTTATGTAGAACAGTAAAATTGATACAATCATCAAATTTACATTCCTTAATTTACATTTGACCTAATGCTGTAGTCAACGGATGACGTCATTCCATAAAAACAAGATGGCGAATGTGTCCACCTGGAAGCAATGCAACGAACTTTCTACATGATATTATGACTACCATGGTGATACCACATCAAATTACTATATTTCTCGGATAATATTCGTAAAATATCTATGTTCCAACAGAAACAATTTTCCCTAACAAACATTTCGTAAAATGGCAGAGAAATTCTCTCCAGTCCCACTATCTATCAATTCATCTATACATCAACTACAAAGCTATGTAATTTACATGTTGTTCATATCAGGATTTACGATACATGTTATTTCATTAAAATCTAGATATTATGAATTATATATGTATACGATTGATTTGTATTTCAACTTTACATAAACGATCATTCTTTTGCCGAAATCTTGTAATG